CACAATATAGATACTGACATTGTATAATCTGGTAAATAAACACCACAATATAGATACTGACATTGTATAATCTGGTAAATAAACACCACAATAGATATTGACAATATATAATCTGGTAAATAAACACCACAATAGATATTGACAATGTATAATCTGGTAAATAAACACCACAATATAGATACTGACATTAAATAATCTGGTAAATAAACACCACAATAGATACCGACAAGGTATAATCTGGTAAATAAACACCACAATAGATATTGACAATATATAACCTGGTAAATAAACACCACAATAGATATTGACAATGTATAAACTGGTAAATAAACACCACAATATAGATACTGACAATGTATTATCTGGTAAATAAACACCACAATAGATACTGACAATATACAATCTGGTAGATAAACACCACAATATAGATACTGACAATATATAATCTGGTAAATAAACCCCACAATAGATACTGACAATATATAATCTGGTAAATAAACACCACACAATAGATACTGACATTATATAATCTGGTAAATAAACACCACAATAGATATTGACAATATATAATCTGGTAAATAAACACCACACAATAGATACTGACATTATATAATCTGGTAAATAAACACCACAATAGATACTGAAAATAAATAATCTGGTAAATAAACACCACAATAGATACCGACAATGTATAATCTGGTAAATAAACACCACAATAAATACCGACAATGTATAATCTGGTAAATAAACACAATATAGATACTGACATTGTATAATCTGGTAAATAAACACCACAATATAGATACTGACATTGTATTATCTGGTAAATAAACACCACAATATAGATACTGACAATAAATAATCTGGTACATAAACACCACAATATAGATACTGACATTGTATAATCTTGTAAATAAACACCACAATAGATATTGACAATATATAATCTGGGAAATAAACACCACAATAGATATTGACAATGTATAATATGGTAAATAAACACCACAATATAGATACTGACATTAAATAATCTGGTAAATAAACACCACAATAGATACCGACAAGGTATAATCTGGTAAATAAACACCACAATAGATATTGATAGATACTGACAATATATAATCTGGTAAATAAAGACCACAATAGATACTGACAATATATAATCTGGTTAATAAACACCACAATAGATATCAACAATATTTAATATAGTATAAATAAACACCACAATAGATATCAACAATATCTGATCTGGTAAATAAACACCACAATAGATACTGACAATATATAATCTGGTTAATAAACACCACAATAGATATCAACAATATTTAATATAGTATAAATAAACACCACAATAGATATCAACAATATCTAATCTGGTAAATAAACACCACAATAGATACTGACAATGTATAATCTGGTAAATAATCACCACAATAGATACTGACAATATATAATCTGGTAAATAAACACCACAATAAATACTGACAATATATAATCTGGTAAATATGAACACCACAATAGATACTGACAATATATAATCTGGTAGATAAACACCACAATATAGATACTGACAATGTATTATCTGGTAAATAAACACCACAATAGATACTGACAATGTATAATCTGGTAAATAAACACCACAATATAGATACTGACAATGTATTATCTGGTAAATAAACACCACAATAGATACTGACAATGTATAATCTGGTAAATAAACACCACAATAGATATTAACAATATATAATCTGGTAAATAAACACCACAATAGATACTGACAATATCTAATCTGGTAAACATAATTTTTAAAATATATTGAGTTAAATGCATATATGTCAACCAGAGCAAACATTGACCTTTGAAAATAGTCAAGTTCTGAAATAAAATCGGTTATGTTCTTTATTGGCTCCCTTGGGAATCTTAAGGCCAAATATCAGCATTTTAGTACAAATACAAAAGGCTATATTGATGAATTTATATATATTGATGAATTTATACACTTGCGCCAAAATTTCCACCAGGAGATTTAAACAAACATAGAGGTTTAAAAGAAGTCATTTGCTTTTTAGTTTTGACTGGTCTAACAATGGTGTATCCCTAGGGAGCCACCATGCCAAATATCAGCTTTTTATTAAAAAAAAAAATGTTATTATTTATGATAATCACTTGCACCAAAAAACTAACCTAAGACACTAAAGCCGAAACTGACAATAACAAGATGATTAAATAGGCCTCGTATGACCTGACACCCTGCCATCTATTATTTGATAAGACAACCTAAAATACCGTTAGTTGACGCCAGATGGAAGTAGAATGTAATCAACTTCACTGAGTCTAAGCTAGGCTATCTTTTCTAAATTTATTCATAGCCTGGTCCTTGGTGTAGAAGATTACATAAATTAACATTTGAATTGCATGTCCAATACATATGGAGCCTACGAAATGTCAAGACTGCGAGCATGACAATGAAAGTAGTATTATTATCATTGGATTCTTAACAGCCCTTCAACACAGAGGAGGTCATTCGCGCCAATAAAAGTAGATAACATGTGTGTTAAAGGAAACCTACATCAAACAAACGAAACGGTAAAACCCAAACATCAACTCGAGAAGTAAAAGTGGCCATTTATACGGTAATTAGTTACATCTTTTTTAACAGACCAACAGTTTTTAGATACCGATAAATAAACACCAAGCTACCATTGATGCTACTTTTCCAGTTTGATACCGGTTATTTTCAGGATTGTTTTGGTATTCAGTCCCCGAAAATAATAAACCGATTATGCAATTGATCATCGATCGGTTTATTTACTACTTCCGATTACAAACCGATTATCCATTAAGATTGTAAACCGATTGCCTGTCATGTGCACTAGTAAACAGTTTGTGACATGCTATATGCTATGGTCTTTGCACTTCAATAAATAAGAATGGGTATATGTAATGTACGAATGACCCATCTGGAGATGGGTAAGGAAAGAAATGTACTTACAACAGCAGGATATGGCTTAGGGTTGAGACAGGCATGCATCGTGAAGGCTTTTCGGTGTTTGGTCATCATGACTTCGTGATTTGAAGGATCAGCTTCTACGAGTAATCCATTCCATTTTCGGACTTTCTCAAAAAACAAAGTGTTAGATCCTTGTTCTCCGTTTAGAGCCCCACATTCGACGTAGAATCCTCCTTCCTGGGAAAGAGAAATATTATTATGCAAACAACATGATATCTGTTTTCAATAATCCTACGATTTAGGTGACCACCCATCAGTTTGTAATTCAGTTGAATTTTGTTCTTTTAAATAATGTGATAAGGAAAAGCATACTATGTACCGGAACATTTTCGCCATAGTCGAATTTTTGCTTTTTTCACTCTCTGTAATGAAGGTGAATTATTTATCATTACAGCAAATACATATACCGGTAGGTAAAAAAACATAATATACATAGTAACTTTATATGGCAAAATTTGCACTGGGCGTAAATGAAGCACATATGGGGAGAAAGGCGAAACTTCCAACTGGAGAAAATTTCCCAATCGAAAATAGATTTTTTTCTTTGTTGTAATAAAGACAATTTTATTGTACCTTTTTTTCCGATTANCTTTTTTTCCGATTACCCCTTTAAAAAAAAAAAAAAAAAAAAAAAGCGAAGTAAAATTTCACTAGCCTTAAGCTAGGGAAGGTAGATTTTCTGTCAGTGTTTGTCAAATATTTTTCAATGCTTCCTATGAAAATATAACTGGGGATTGTAGAAATATGGAAATCTGCCTTAAGGCAAGCGCTTAAAATATGAAATTGTAAACCCCTGATCAAGTGAGACTATTTGTTATTTTAATGTATGCCAGGTACGTCCTAAAGAAAATGAGATATGCATAATTATACATGTATGAAGGAAAAAGACAAAAAAAAAATTGAAATTGGTCTTTAATTTATTTTAACATACCATGTAGTTTAATCGGCTGTCAATAAAAGGTGTCTGTCCATTGGAATACTCCAGTTTGTCAGGGTTTTTAAGATTGTAAGATTCTTTCGATGGTGGGACGATGAAATGATTTCTGATAATTTCAATAAGACGTGGCTCGTCCATTGCAGCATGATCCGCATTTAGCTTGGTCAAAACTTCTTTGTAATTGTACGATTCATTATGACTCTGCACGATTCCTCTCGGTTGAAACGCTTGTGCACCAACCACATACCGTCTCTGCTGGTTGAATGGAAGGCTGAAGTCTTTGTTCGAGTTATCGTTGATAATGATGGTCGGAGGTCCGGAAGATTTCTGATTGACCGTTTGCAACATCAGCACAATGATAGCAACGACTGCTGCCATACACACCATCAAGAAAGGCGTTGAAAAACGCATGATGAACTGATAGGTTTATGCAAACTTCGAAAAATTACTCAGTTTATATAAATACGTATTGCAGATTGTTATAAGCTTGCTGCCATTCCAAACAAAGGATCACCTGTTAGGCTGTAGTTGTTGTCAGTTTACCTGCAAAATACGAGAATAATACAAAGTTTTACATGTCGATGGCTGAAACCGATCTCAGAGGCACAATATGTTAGCAATTCAAATGGTGTCGGGTCGCAATAGGCATAATATATAATGTCCCATAGAAAATCAGCCAACCGATGGGAGTAAATTAAAGTCATGGCAAGATTAAACGTATATATTGTAACAAGCTTTTAGGTTGTTTTCAGGTCACACGATGGAGTTATATTTTATGTCACCACAGCAAATGTTTAATGGATAGTGATCATGACATGGCCATGACATGATCAGGTGATCAGGGACCTCCAGACAAATTGAACAAGGTAGAAAAATCTTGTACATGTAAATCATTTTTTGTGGATATATCCTTGTCAGAGGAATGCAAAAACCCCAACCGTTCAAACTACTTATTCTAAATATTCTATCAGTTCAAACTACTTATTTTAAATATTCTTTCTGTATTATAACAGTATAAAATATCTCATCAACTCAAAGCCATAATTATATATAAGCTGCCATGTTTTGATACACAGCTGGATGTAATGCATACTGCAGTGCATACAGTGAATTTTATTTACCTTTTTGCATAGCGAGTCATTACCTACTAAGCTCTGAAAATCCATTCTTTTAAAATACTGTATTTATATATAGCACTCTAAAATTAAAATTTAATTCTTATTATATAGGAGCCGTGGTGGCCAGGAAGTGGTTAAGGCGTCTGACATTCTGCTACCACTAGCCCTCCACCACTGGGTCGCAGGTTGGAGGCCTACGTGGGGCATTTGCCAGGTACTGGCTGTAGGTCGGTGGTTTTTCTCCAGGAACTCCGGCTTTCCTCCACCACCAAAACCCGGCACATCTTTAAATGACCATAGCTGTTAATACTGCCTGACTTAAATCACAAAGAAATCTAACCAAATCTTATCCTATATCATGGAATGCTGATTGACAAAATGATGGAAAATCTAGATTTGCTTTGGGCAATATACCTGGAATCAATACATACATCAATTGGCATGGTCAACTCTCAATACTCCAACCTTCACTAAATACTCGTTTGAACCTCTTAAGCTATCCAGTTAGTTTTTAGGGGACAGTTTGGCCTTTATCTACAGATACAAAATAGTCCAAGTAATCCTGTCCATTGAATTAATCATCTCACAATTCAGCCACTTTCACCGACTTTAAAATTGAGACTTGACAGAACACATATATATACTGGTACATTTACACTGAAAATAAAGCATAACATTTTAGTGTTATTAACACTAAAAATTGGGAAGTCATTAAACTGACCAAGTTCAAATTTTATCAAAGGGACTTCTATAATTAACTTATCGTACAATGGCTGACTTTCTCTATTGGAACAGAAACTTTGATCTTTTTATCAGAGTGACACTCCCAAGCAAGTGCATTATGATACATGTAGCTCATTAATTATAATGTATGAACTAGACTCGGGAAACCAGAGACATATAAAACCAGTTTAGTTATATTGGTAGTACATGTATATATGTATGTATACGTCTCTGAAATGAAATTACAGTGGCGTAGCAAATCATTTTGCGAAGTGAATGCTTATAGAGGGGGTCAAGTGTCCGTCAGGCGCGTAGTGCAGGAGGAGGGGGAAGGTATGGGACGAAGAGCTCCTTCTCCCATAGCTGGAGAAAAAAAAAGAATTCTACTAGGCCCTAGATAGCAATCTCTCGTATTCTGGGAAATCCTTTTAGTCTGATTGTAAACAAGTAAAACCGGACTTTCTATATGAATATTATTAAATTTTGTACTTCACCAAGTAGTTTTTGATTTACATAAACCTGCGAGATTTGTCATGTATCTATATAGACATAACAACACTATTTTATCAGACTAAAATTTTCAAGAAGAATTTTTTTCATTCTTTCCTTTTTTTTTATTGATACGGACAGTTCATATTTATCATGAAATATGAAATTAATAACATTATATGATATTAGAAAATTATCAAAATTTTAGTGTATGCTTGAGCATACAGTGTATATGCTCCACTGAATTGGAAGCAATTTTTATCCAATTAAAGAACACTTGCTGCCCAAAGCATCTGTACAAATGAACTCATTCACCCCTACATTTTTTAACTTGACTTGTCCAGTCTTTGATTTGGTAAGGCTCAAATGAGACTTTAGGGGTGAATGGGTTAAAGTTATGTGTGAAGCCTGAGTTTGATTGACACTTGAAGGAAGTCTCTAACCCTTGATTTGAGGAAATAATAATCATTGATTTGCCTAGCAAGGGCTTCCTTATAAGACAGTGTGTGACGCAGTACAACCTGGTATATTAAATAAACATGTTTTCCTAACTTATTATAGAGAATTGAATAGTTAGCGTATATATATATACATAAGTATATATGTATAATAAATATATACATTTATACCATGAACGATAAAGGACATCACTGCATATAACGAGTTTTGAAAACGATACTGCTTAAATAAGAAGCTCTTCAGAGCGAACATTAGGCCTACGTACCTGTTATCCGCATCACATACATGTAATATTAATAGTCTTGTATCTTGTCAAGATCCTTGTTTGTATTTATGTCCTATCAGTATCAACAGCTATGGTCATTTAAGGACGTGCCAGGTTTTGGTGGTAGAGGAAAGCTGGAGCACCCAGAAAAACCCACCTGCAGCCAGTACATGGCGACTGCCCCACACAGGCTCTGTGACCCAGTGGTGGAGGGTTAACGTTAGTGATCGTATACAGCTAGATGCCTTTACTGATTGGCCACCGCGGCCCACTTGTCAAGATCCAGTTTCTTAACATTATTGCTGTCTATCAAATCTGTATTGTCATCCAGCTACAGATTACAATGTATTTACGCTGCAAGCCTGATGGCCAGTATATGTTTTATATCTGGGTGTTTTATTGGCTTGTGTTCAAACAGTGATGGTGTAAGAAACGATCACAATACTGTTTTGTTTCCAGCAGCTGTAGTATTACATCCTTAACTCTATGATCTTAATTAAGGTGATGGAATTATAAAGTTGCTGAAATAAAAAAACAAAAAAATCATAGATTAGAAATACCAGTACCTAATATTTCAAAATATATCTGAAAATCCTCAAAACATTTACAATAAATGGTTGCGACCCAGGGCTGGTTTACGATTAATATTGTTCCCATGTATATATTCATATAGTGAGCACTTCTTTCTTTATATTATCATTTTCCTCTTAAAAAGCGTGCACTTTATATATGTGAATATCAATGGTATGAAATTCTTATATTCAAGACATTAAAATTTGAATTAATAAATGAAAAAATTGAAATTAAAAACTTTGACATTTAATAAATTGGAAATTTAGATTTAGCCTAATTATGACTTATGGTATACTTGTCATTTTACTCTCCCTATTACGGAGGGAGACTCCCTATTTTGGACCCTTAAATTTGGTAGTTTCAGCCAGAGTTTTCTCAATTATACCTTTATTCTAAGAAAATAACAACATCCTGAGCCTTTTGGTTATTCAGAACAAGTTGTTGAAATATTTCAAACATATTTGCTCCTTGTGACCTTGAATATGATTCAAGGTCATACATTTAAACAAACTTAGTAGCCCTTGATCCTAGTATGCTACTGAATAAATATCATCACCCAGGGCATTTTGGTTATTAAGAAGAAGTTGTTTACAGTTTTTAACATATTTGACCCCTGTGACCTTGAATATGGGTGAAGGTCATTCATTTGAACAAACTTTGTAGCCCTTCATCTCAGC